TAACCAATTAGATTGATTAAATCCCAATAATTTTTTTGGTAATTTTTATTTAAAAACTCGAAGAGGGGAAATACAAAACAATAAGAAGTAAACACATGACAAAATAGTAAAAGACAACATGAAAATTTCTTGTGGAATAAAATCACCTACCAATTTCTGCTCTGTGGTTGAAAACTAGTCACATGACTGTATGGTATTTAGATTGGGTCTAGGTAATGGAAAGTGTTGTGGAAATTGGTTGAATCAACCAGTTCTTGTTTGCTTCTTTTAAGATTACATTTAAGCACATGCACATTTGTAATCACAGAAACAGAATACATATTAACCTATGTGCCTAGTAATAGTTGCTTATCAAAATTACAGCTCAAACTTCTGTACGTTTAAAAAGTTTACTGTGTAGGTTTTATATAAATTGTGTTTTGAGGTGGGCAAAACCATAACAAATGGATGGTTAGTATTAAAACATTTTTTAAATGCTTCTTTGATAATATTGTAGCAACTTATAAAACTGCTTCTACTTATCCTCAGAATTCAAAAGAAGAGACACCGTGAAACAAACTCCAGGAAAGTAAAGGGAAAATGAAGAAAAGTGGGCAATCCGATGAAAGCTGAAGGTCACGAGACTAAAGACCTTGCATTCTATTTGGTTGATTTTTTTCCTCCCTCTCTCTCTCTCTCTCTTTTAGGTTCACAAAAGAGACAGCTAGATCAGAAACAGAAAGAAGCATTTCCAAGGTCTCTAAGGAGAGAAAAGCTAGCAAAGAGTTATTTCTAAAGATTCTAAGTAACCTGTTATAAAAGGAGTGAATAGAAGAGAAGGCTTCTTTAAATAACTTCAAACATTCTGTGGGCAGGATAGCAGGGTGACATTTTGGTGATTAAACTTGGGTTTCTTGGGGGCTTTGGAATGAATTCTAAGTGTTCCAGAATGATAGACAGCATGGTCAGCTTGAATACCATTATGGTAGTCATCTGTTACACAGCTTTGTGTCTAATTATTATTTCTTTAATCTTTGCTCTTGAGTTTATTTCTTTTATGACCTCTTCTGGGTATCGGTTTTCATTTAACTGCCTTGTTAAACAAGAGTTGCTTCATTTGTGGACTTGGGCGTTTGAGTCACCAACTTTTTTCATTTATTTGTCTGGTCACTTAACCCAACAGAACTCCGCTTCCATGTGACGGCAGCTAATGCAAAAAGGAAGATTAACTCATACTTAAAAATAAGCTATACCCTTGAAACCACATCTTGGAGATGGCATTCTATTTTGTGCCATGTGAGAATTATTTTTAAAGTATTGCTTCATTTTAATACAGAGGGCCATAAAATTCGGCTTTCTAAAGTATCAACATTCCTGCCTTGATGGTTAGCTGGAACATTTCTTCAGATAAATAAGTATAAAACTTACTGGGTTTTTTTTTTTTTTTTTGCCTGAAACATTGAAGTAGTTAAGGTAGAAATACATAGCCTGGATCAGTGATTCTCAATCCTCCATGCTCATTAGAATTCCCTGGGAAGCTTTTAAATAGTGCAGATCCCAGGTCCCCTCCCCTAACCACCTAAAGCAGGGAGTGGGGCCCTGGCGTTGTTCTTTCTTAAAAAGCTCCCCAGGTGATTCTGATTCATAGCCCACATTAGAATGTTGATCTAGATAGTTCAGGGCCAAAAAATTAAACATAAATAAACAAATCCCTGTTTGTGTTTTAATTTAAGGCGTGATGGTTATTGCTTCAAAGTCATTTGTTTTAAAACCACAGTGCACTCGGTTGCCTGCAGCTTTAAATACAAATGTTTTTAAGAATGCAGTTAAAGTCCTTTTATAGTCCATTCTCAACCAGCTTTTCAGGTATCAGCTCCCACAACCCTGTTTCAATCTCAAAGTCTTCAAATACTCCCTGCCCTTTTATTCATCCACGTTTTTAGTTCCTTGCTGATTGCTTTCTGTTATAGCTGAACCTCCTTCCATACTGGGGAAAATGCTACTTATCCCTTCAAGGCCAGCTTGAAAGCATTACCTCAGTGACACTGGGCTAATCATAATTTAATTATTTTATATAGTACTGACTTGTATACATTCAAATGACTTGAGTAATGTGACTTGAGTATGTCACATTCCTAGCAATAAGTGTACAGTTTATAATACCTATCGTCAAGCTCTAAGCATGTATCTACTACAGTGCTTTTTAACCGGGGTGCTGTGACAGGCACACAGGTGTGCTGCAAAACTTTTCATAACATGGAACACCTGGCTATTTAGTCAGGGACACTGACCTCTTTTCCCATAGATTGTCAAATAAAAGGTGACAGTAGACAAAACAATAATAGCTGTCCAGTGTGAATGAACCAAAATTACACCTACTGTTTGTCAGATCGGCAAGAAGTGTATTTTTGGTGTGCTGCAGAATTTTAGAAATTAGTTTATGTTATGTGAGATGAAAGAGGTTGAAAATTGCTGATATATTGTATCGTTGCTTAGTAGCAATAATTATGCAGGTAATCTCAGAAGAAGGCACTTGATTTAGATTTATGAATTATTTCACACAGACATTTTGAGCTATGTTCTCAACGGTTCCTAATTCTAGTATCTTTTATTCCAGCACCGCAAATCACTTTAAGAAAGGCCACAATGTTTAATTTTTTGGTCTGTTTGTCATGGGACTCCCCGGACTTTAACTAAATTAGAGACATTTACAATAGTAGGATATATTCATATTCTTTTGATATATTGAATTTTCACTTATCAGTTGTGGTTACAGTATGTGTTTTCAGATAGGAAATAAGTGGATATAAATTCTCCCTTTTTTTTTTTTTACTCCTTTTGTCTTTGAAGCCACAGGAAGCCAGCTTGCTAACTCCCTGATGATACCCGATACTTCCCTGACTAAAAAGAGTCTCTTGATGATGATCAGCATTTTCACCAAGATAGAAGTGTGCATTCTCTTTTTCCTAAAGATACAGATGTCCCTTAAAAGGGTCCGGAGTCTTCCTTGCAAAACTGCTTCGGTCATACAAGCACCTATTAGAGCTACTAGCAGAAAGGGCAAAGGAAGACATAAATACCTTCTTCCTGCAACAGAAAAAACAAACACACCCCCAAATAGACAAAGAATTTGAACATCAGCAAGACTGGAGACCCGGAGGGAAAAGTAAATAACTTTTAAAATGAAAATTACATTAAAAAATAACAGATTATCCTTTAGTTCTCTAGTTTGTTTTCCCACTGCTTGAATTTTGTGAAATATACGGAAGCATTTGCCTTAATATTTTGAATTTACGTTTTTTAAATTAGAAAGGTGGTTGGTTAGGGGGAATCTGTCATAGTCTATAAATAGGCACATTTCAATTTGTATTGTCACTAAGAGAAGAGTTACTTTCCTAGGACAATTTCAGGATCTCTTCAGGTGGGAAAGATTTCTGTAATTGAGAAACGACCCAATTTTCAGGCAAGGGGCCCATAACATTCAGGCGACTCCATGCCGGTGTGAACTGTTCCTTTTCCCTCAAGTCTTTATTGATCATGATCTCAGATTCTCCACCAAACTCAAGCCAGCTGACCTGCAGGCAATACCGCGCTGGTTGCGCACTGCAGGTCCACCACTGGAGGGCGTCTGGACGCTTCCAAACAGCTCTGAAGCGCCTGGAAATCCCGAGTTCCAAGACTGGAAAGCCCAGGACAGAGAATGTGGTATTTGATGATATTGGGCTAATAAGTAAAGGCAAGTTTGGGAGCAAAAACTAAACTGCTCTTTTTTGGGAGATTAGCTTTGTCCCACGGAGGCAGCAAACTCCCTAGAGAGCAAGAAAGGCCGAGCCCGCGGAGCCACGCGAGGGCGAGTCTCCAGGGTTTGCAGCCCTGCTGCGCGGGGAGCCTGGCGAGCTCCCCCGACGCTAGAGGACAGGGGCGCGCGCCCCGGGGAGTTGCGTCTGCTCGCAGTCGGGCAGCCACGCTCCGGTGGCTGTCGGGGGTCCGAGGTGCTGCAACCTGCTCTACAAGTCCGGGAACGCAAGGCCTTTTCCAATAAGGGGACCTTGTCCCCCGACGTCCCCAGCCTAGGTTTCTTCCCGTACGGACTCTCAAAGCTCTAATGAATCCCTTGCGGGGTGAGAGTGAACCAACCTCGGGTTGAAACGGAAAGTGTGTAAGGTATTTGGGGTGGGCTTCCCTGCCGCATTCGTTTCCTCCTCGCTGAAGGTTCTCACTGAATAGTAATCATTCTATACTGTGATTTTCTTGACTTAAAAAAAAATGTTTTCAGAGCATCACTTTAAAGGAAAAAGTCTTGTTTCCTGCTCTTGAACCTTTAAATCCCTGGCAGGAAGAGGGGCGTTGAAAGGCACAGGAGAGATGCTCGGCTTTGCACAGAACCCACCGCCAGGCAACTGCGTAGGGCGCAGATTCCCAAGAACACGTAATCACTGAGGCTTGTGGCCAGCGGGTCTGCGGGGACTTCTGGTCACCTGAGGGGCCGGAGAGACAGATTTCGGCTCTTCGACCGTGGGACGGGAACCGGTTCCTTTGTGATTGAAATACCCCACTCTCAGGTAGAAGGATGTCAAATCATTCCCCAGCCCAGACGGAATTCAGCATCCAAAGGGTTACGAGCAGCTGCTTCTTTCGGGCGGAGGAGAGGGCGCCTCGGCACTCCCCGTAATTCAATTAGTCAGGTTTCTGGAAGGTGGGGCCAGGGAGGGGGTAGGAGGCGTGAGCAAGGGAGGAGATTAGGAAACCGCCTCTTTCTCAGGGAGCAACCAATCCGGTTGGCGTAGAGAGAGAGAAAAAGCCTAGATCTGTAAGCAAACAGCAGGCTGTTCCCTGACTGGCTGCTCCAGACACCCCCCCCCAAGTAATCTGCATGGGGGGGTTGCTAACGCCAGCGACCTACACGATTCGGGCCGCCGCAGCAGCAGCACAAGCTGGGCGCGGGCTGGCGGCGCCTCCCCCCCCCCCCCCACTCGCTGGATCCCGAGCGCAGACTGGAGCTCGCGCCGCCCGCCGGCCCCGCGCCCTGCATTACGCGCCGGCCCCTCCCCGCGCCGCCCACGTCCACATTCACGCGTGCCGCCTCGCACTCTCGTGCGGCTGCTGAGTCGCCGCTGCTGTCGGCTTTACACGCAGGTCATTAACGAGGGGGCGTGCCGGAGGAGATTTTTCCCATAAAGCATTTTCTCTCTTTTTTTTTTCTTTTGCAAAACTGACTTTTACCCCTTTCCACTTCTCGACAGCCGCTTCAATTCCTCCTGGGCTGCCCGTGCTGCTGCTGCTGCTGCTGCTCTCAAATTTATTTTCCCGCCTGGTAGGGGTTTTACAGTTCGGTTGGTGGTTTCCACCTCTTGTTGCTGCTGTGCCCGAGGAGGGAAAGGGGAACAGCTGCGGGAGGCTCGGAAAGGTTTTCTGATGTAGTCATCGGGGAGGTGCCACTGGCTCTTGCGCTCTTTTTTTCCTCTCTCTCCATTTCAAACTGATTGATGCGTCTCTACAAGTTGCTGGGCTTGGGGCCGAACCCGTCGGAGTCGCAGGGACACTTCTGAGAGCTCACGCGGGGCTCCTGGCATTGCGTCGTGGGGCTCGTTCTTGCTCCAGGAAGGCGAGCGGAGACTGACATCAATCAGCCCATCCAGGAGTTGGAGGGATTCATTTGAAAGTGATTGTTTCCCCTCCCGCTCTCCAGCTGAGCTGTTGGGTTGGCGTCGTCCTGCAGGTTTGGGCATCCCGGCTCCGCCTGGCTGGCTGGTAGGTGACCTCTGCTCTTCATTCACTCCGGTGCACTCACACCCGACAGAGAAAGCACGCGCGAGAAATCCCTGAGGCCGGCGCCTGCGGTGTCCTCTCCCGCCGCTGCCGCCGCAGTCCGACTCCGCTGGGGGACCTTCTGGAAGACCCGGAGAGCCAAACTTTTTTTTTTTTTTTTGGAGGTTTGCGAGGCCAGACCGCTTCTCGCCAGCTTAGTTGCCCCTTAACCACTTCCAGGACGCCGGCAGGGCTGGATTTGTGGCTACGGATCCCCACCCTTCTCAGAGCACCGCCCCGAATCTGCAACACCTACGACTCCTCCGAGATTTCTAGGCGCTGTCCGGTTAAAGCACAGACGAGGCCACAGGCGCGAAGCCCCAGATCTACACGGAGCCCTCCTGCTGTTTCCCACCGGCTGCCAAAGTAACTTGGAGCGAAGCGGAGCGCAGTGTGAGGACCCTGGGCGGCGGAGACCTGTGCAGCCCGCGGCGCCAACGCTGAGCCAGGCCGGCTGGCCAGTGTATGTCTCCCCGCGGCCGCGGCGCGCAACTCCCGGTGACTGTGCAGCGCGCGCCGCCGCCCGCCCCAACCCGAGCTGCTGCCGCTCGACCCGGCGCGCACCTCCTTCTCCCCGGGTGACGGGCCTGCCGCCGCCTTCCGAGACACCGCTTGACACTCCTTTCCCCGCCCTCGCCGCTGCCAACACACACTCGCTCGCTTCTCTTCATCTTGTAATTTCTTTTTTTCTTCTGAACCCTCCACTTGGAAGTGCGAGTTTGTGTTTAGCCCCTCCGCTCCACTGCCTCTTTTCTTCTCCCTCTCCTCCCCCTCCGCAGCTTGTTGTGTGACTCTTTCTTTTCTCATCCCTCTTCATTTTTATTTATTCATATTTATTTGGCTCCTGCTCTCTCGCTCTCTCCTTCCCTCCCTCTCTCCGGATTCCTGCTCTCTCCCCGGAGTCGCGCGTCCCGGGCTCCGCCGCTGGCCAGGCGTGATGTTGCACGTGGAGATGTTGACGCTGATGTTTCTGCTGCTCTGGATGTGTGTGTTCAGCCAGGACCCGGGCTCCAAGGCCGTCGCCGACCGCTACGCCGTCTACTGGAACAGCAGCAACCCTAGGTAAGGCAATAGGTAGCCAAGAGCCTGGGCTACTCGGGCCTCGGGGCCCTGCGGAAGGAGCCGCAGCGGCTGCGGGGACCAGCAGGGACCAGCGCGCACCGGCTGCCGGCACTGGTCACTCTCAGAGCCTGTGTTGTCGTCGGGGCGCTGATGGCTTCCGAGATGTCCGTGGGAAGCGCTCCAGTTGCACCACCCTTTGTTGAGCCACCGCGGAGAGGCTGGCGCCCTAGGGAGTCCCCGGGTCTGCCTAGACCGGCTGCCTCTGCAGACAGCGAGGAGACTCCGAAAAGGCGGGAGCTGGGGAGTCGAGACTTTCCCCGCTCATCCGCCCGGGCAGGCTGGCCGGCATCCCGATCCCGGTGCAGGGCTCGGGCACTGGCAGCCCCGTGTGCCTCCCGCCAGGAGCTCCCGCCGGCATCAGGGGTGAGCAGGGACTGCAGGGGGAACCCGCCAAACATCATCAAAGTTGGGGTTTTTTCCACCCTGTTTTCTTTTTAATTTTTTTCTGTACTCGGTGCGCTCAGAGAGCGCACAGGCTGGGTGAAGTTTGGGGGCTGGGAAGCGGAAGCTTTAGGTTATTTTCCTCTTTAACTGCGAGGAAATGATCTGGCCCCTGGGTCAGTCTGGGCCGGGCTGCACTTGGCAGTTGAGAAGGTTCTCCCACCTCTTCCACCCCTGGGTGGGCTCAAGGCGCCAGAAAGTTTGATCTAACGCGGGGTTACATCTTGTGTGCGGAGCTGCTGGAGTTGGCTGAGCAGGGAGATGGGAGCCCTCCGTCCGCGGCCTGGCGGTGTGCGGCCCTAGAAGCTCGCGCGGTTACCTGGAACCGTTTTTGCTGTGGTCCCCGAAGCCCGCTGTGTCCGCGGGAGGCTAGAGGTGGGCGCCCAGGACCGCCCTAGCGTGGCTGCTTGGATCGTAGCCACCCGCGGACGTCCCTTGTTCACGGGCCCTGACTGTGGGGTTGGGGTAAGGGGTTGTCCAGAGTGCCGGGCGGACCCCTACGGATCCAGAACAGCTCTGAGCCCTACTTTCTCCCGGGCCTGTGGGCCCCAGTGTGCCCCACTGGGCCTAAATTGTCTGCCTCTTTGGGACCCAGGCCAGCTTCCAGCTGTGGGCTGGCCTCGGAGTCCGCCGGGAGGGAGACAGCTTCGATTATACCCAAAGTCTCGGCTCTTTCCTGGGCTGGAGTGGAAGTTGTTAGGAGAGTGGCAGGAGGCCGAGGGGAGACTTTTTGGTTGTCGCGCACCCAGCTCGCCCGGGGACAGGGGTCTGCAGGGCCCTTCCAGTGCTTCCCACCTCCCGGTGGACCAGTCCGCGGTCCGCCCGCCTTCCTTCCCTCTGCGCACCTGAGCGGGATTCCCCACTCGAAGTAATGTCAGCTCAGGTGGAGGCGGGCAGGTTCCTCCCCACAGGCGGTGCAGCGGGGCCGAACGGAGAGAGTTCCCTCCGCCCTGCCACCCCGGGAGAGACGGTCACACCCAGGTAGTCCAAGCCCCGATTGCTCGCCTGGAAGAATTGGGCACTGAAAGTTTGGTTAAATTAAAAAAAAAAAAAGTCTTCTGGAGGTGGGTGGTGGCATGGGAAGCTATTTCTTCTTTGACTTGCCACTTACTGCTATTAGAAAAAGAGAAAAAGAAGCCATCCTGCCAGAGGAAATGCCTTTTATTAAAGCTGACAAGACAAATAGAGCAAGCTTTGCAGTTGTGATGGTGTTAAAAGCAAGCCTCATTATGCCCGTTGGTTTTATTCCCCCTTTGGGCTTTATTAGACAGCATATATGAAACGGAATTTATATTTGTAAACTTTATCGCCTTATTAGAGACAAGTGAAGTTGGTTAGTTGAATTTGGGACATTTTGCTCCTGGTAGTCTTTCGTAACCCACTCCAAACCTCGCCGTGTGGTCTTTTTCTCAGTAATTTACTTGGATACTTGGGTGTTCCCGTTATCTGGGTTTAAACAGAAAAACCAGCCATACCCTCACGCTACAACTGCCTTCTTAACCTGCCAGGCTAGTCTGAGTTAGTCTGAGGATATTCTATCTTAGGTTGTCTCTGTTTTATGCTTTTGATACTGTTGTTTGGTTTAAGATTAGTGCATTGATTTTTGTCACAGGTCATGTTTTCAATAGATATGCCCTGCCTGCAGAACACTGTTCTGCTCTGGATGCCACAGTGGCTTTGAACCTGCCCAGAGTTAATCTGTAGAATTGTAAAAGACCAAGAGTATGCTCACGTCAATATTCCAGTTTGAGGTTTGTGGAAATACCTTTCTATTTGATCATTATCAGCTGGATAATGTTGCAGAGGAAGAATGATGCACCCCCCCCAAGATATTCAGCCCCAACTTTAGTATTCTTAGAGGATATGGATTCATTTATCTTCCTATGTTATTACCCTGAAACTTAATTTTAAAATAATCTAACTCCAAAAGTAGATATTGGATGGCAGACTTCTCTCTGAAATGTTAGATAAGGTGATACTTTGTTGATGTGTTAAGTTGGTTTGGGTATACCTTAAAAGGAGCCAAAATGTGAACTAAATAATTTAGAAATAAATATAGTTTATCACAAAAGACAGTGAAGAACTATTTTAGAAAATTTGCGCCAGTTTACTAAATTGTATAAATTCAGTGTTTTATATGTTTTTCGTATGTTATCATTACAGAGGTAATCTAGCCATGCCCTTTGGTTTTACATAAGTCCTATATTTTAAGATTTTGCTACACTGATAATATAGTCAGAAGACGTCAGTCTTTTAGAAAAAATAGAAACTTTAATTGCAACTTAAATAGATTAAATTTTTTTCTGAGAGACTTGAAGTTCAGTGAACACATTAAACTACTAATGATACTGTGCAAGTGAAATAAATGTTTTAGCTTATACCAGTGAACTTCAGTATAAATTTGTGTTTAAGTAGAGTTAAGAATTACATCTTGATCAGAGCGTTTAAACATTTTATAGTCATTCATGTAGTCATGAGTTTATTCACTGCATTGGGTTTCCTTACTGGCTCCATAGATACCATAAGCACCCATTGATTTAGGGTCATAGAAGAAAAGATATTAAACTTATTCGCTGTCAGATAGTTTTACTGTTAGAATCTGTCTTCCCAGGTATTCACTTGTGGGAAGTGAATGTTCAATTTTCAAATGCTGAAAACTTTTTAGTTGCCAGCGTTTATTGGGTGGTGGGCCAACCTAATTTTATGTGTTGGGTTGGCACAAGTCTCTGAAATAGCAACCGAAAACTATCACTCTGAATAGAATATATGGTAACATTTGACTAAATGAATCTTTGCTGTTTTACAAATTTGAAAAACTGTGTGAGTTTCACCTAAGTAATTAGAGAATAGAATGATCCTTTTAATGTTGTGCTGAATTCTGAACTGGCTAAGCAACTTTGAGTAATGAAAATCCAAATCCAGAAGAATACAACTATTTGTCCTTGATTTATTTAAGAATGTAAAAAGCTTTTAAGTAACTTTAAGTAAAAAATAAAACTTTATTTGCAAACTCCCTTAGTAGCTACCCTTATAAAGGTACGCATGACTCAATGTAAAGAGCATCCCAGTTAATCTGAAGCATGCTATACACAGTGTTGTGCTTCCAATGAGAATATTCTTTTAAACACTGTGTACATACGGAAAAATTCTTGGGTTCTTTTGACCAGTTGCCAAAATGATGCCATGATAATTAAAGATGTCTTCTACGGTTTGGCATTAATGGGTGTGGCACAGTGCCAAATACAAGCAGCACACTTTAAGAATACTGATTCTCCTCAGTTAGTGCTTTGCTTCTGTTAAGGTTTGAGTATCACCAATTTGAAGTGTTATTCTCGTACAAGAAAACATACTCTATAATTCATTCGGGATTTGCTAAATTTTAACCTAATCATATGTTTTCTTTGGACTTTCTCGATTCTTGTAGGGACTTGTAAATTAAATATTTCATGTGAGAGTAGCAGGTAATTGACACCATTTAGTTTTGTTAACATGTAATCTTGGAGTTGTGAAAGTAATGTGGATTCTAGGTCAGCACTCCCGAATCTTCTGGCAGCCTGGGCCATAGGTATGTGGCTAAGCAGAGAGAAGTAATTTTTTCCTAACCGTGATCCCTGGGCATTTTTCCTCTTTCAAAATTTACTTGTTTTATTTTTTTAAAATGTGACCCATCAGTGTCTTAACACATGTGTGCCAGTGTCCCAGCCATGACTGCACCTTCTCCATAGACAAATCCATGAAAGTAATTTGGCTTACCTCTGAAAATTTATTTCGAAGAAAGGTGGAAAGTCGATTTAGGTTTTGAATCTGATATATCATCACACTTGTAAAGGATTAACTTTGTTTTCAGTGTTTTCAATAATATTGTTACATCTTGGAAACATAGAAAGTTCTTCACATAACAAGGCATTACTTGGAATCTTTTAACTTTATTAACTCCGAGCCTCCATGTAGTAATAGGTCGCTTCAGTAGATGTAGTGAGATAATTTTATTATTTTGATATTTATTTGTATCAGAATTTATATAAACACTCGAATAAATATAAAGCTCTTTGACAGAGATTTATATCTCATGTTTTTTACGCTTACTCATGTAGACCTGAAGTGAGTCTTCTTTCTCTCCCCCTATTTATGGAGAAATTTGTAAAAGAGACGTATGCTTCTCTTTTTTGGATAGTTTTTTATAGACGTTTGAAAAGGGAAGTTAGCTACTGAGATGTTAGTTTCCAATCTGTTGTGTGTGTTATGTTACATATTCATAATCAGCTATCCAAAGTGGTCAACTGTCTTTAGGTGAGTGGAGCATCAGTGATACTTGAGGCTCACTTGTCTGTACAGTCTAATTGGCATTTCTACTGTGAGACCAAGGTTAGGACACCTCTTGTGATGAAAAGAATCAGAGGGAGCCTTCAGTAGCTTATTACTCCCTGTTAGTTGATTTTAGTGATATTAACTAAACCATTGGTTCACTGAATGGATATCTTGTTATCATGTGTCTTCTG